CACATGAGGATAAGTTTGTTTTGTTTTGTTATTAGAGAGGAAGGGACTGAGAAAGAGGGAGAGAGAAACATTGAGTGAGAAAGAAACATGGATCATTGCCTTCTATACACACCCCAACTGGGGATTGAACCCAAACCCTAAATATGTGCCCTGACCAGGAATTGAACAAGAAAACTTTTTGGTGTACAGGATGATGCCTTAACCAACGGAGCCACCCAGCCAGGGAAGATATTTGGTGATTTTTTTTTTTTATCCTTACCTGAGGACATTTTTCCATTTTTTATTCAGATAGAGTGGGAGGGGGAGAGAGAGAGAGAAACATCAACGTGAAGGGACACATCGAGTGGCCGCCACCCGCATCACCCAACCAGGGTCGGGGACAAACTGCAGCCAAGGTACATGCCCTTAGCGGGAACCAAACCCGGGTCTCTGTGGACCCCAGGCTGACGCTCTAACCGCTGAGCCAAACCAGCCAGGGTTATTTGGTGATTTTTGTTATCTTCATTATATTTTATATTTTTGAAGAATGAGCATCCTGCCCTGGCTAGTTTGGCTCAGCGGTTGGAGTGTCAGCCTGCAGACCAGAGAGTCCTGGGTTCGGTTCCCACTAGGGGCACGTACCAAACAAAAGAATGAGCATGTTTTCTTTTTTAATACCACTGGATATCATCAATGCTATTCACTATATAGTTTTGGCTTTCTGCCTTCCTAGCATATTGTAGGATTGAACATCCAGGCTCCTTTATGGTGGGGTAGAACCATATACTTAGTTCTGGTTGAGTTGTGAATGTAAGGGACATTTCTGGACAAATAATTTACTTGCCAGTTCAAAACCCATCAAAGTTCTTTTCCTCCAGCATAACAACCAACAATAAAGATGGTGACTGCTGTTAACCCGGGTCCCAGAGTGTCTACCATGAGCATTCTTTTTGTTGACCTATCATGGACATTTAGTATGAACAAGAACTAAACTTTTGTTTTAGATCTCTGAAATTTGGAAATAATTTGTCATATTAACATCACAGAGTCTATCCTGATTGATACAGAAACTGGTATTCTGAATGGGAGTATTGTTATAGTGCAACAAGGGGAAAAAGACAACCCACAACACAATCTAAAATACTGCATGGCTGTGACTTAAGGACCAAGTAGCTAGTAATCAAAAAATAATTACCAGAGATCACAAGGATATTGATCCATATTACATATTGGAAAAACATTTGGTAAAACTCCCACAATACTTAGAAGGCAGTTAATGTACCTAATTAGCTTGTAGATTTTTTTTAAAGAAAAAAGTGTGAACAACAAAATTAGTAGTGTTTTACCATATTAAAAGGGTTTGTTTGCCACATGCATTAAAGCCCACTAAAATGCCAACTGGAGTTGCCACAAAGAAAGTCAAGTTTTATTTAAAGAAATTGTGCCAAGCCCAAAGACACAGGTGAGTGTGCCTAAGACCTGGCTCCTAGATGCCTCTAGGGGATTGACTATAAAGGGGAAAAGTGATTAGTTGTGGTGACTAAGGGAGTTGGGGTTGTGGGATCTATTGATTGGTTGGGGCCAGGATAGGGAGTAGTTGATCATTATATCTGGTCCAGATGTCAGCCTTGGCAGAGTTCTGTCTGGTTCCCTGAGGGTGTGGTGGGTAGGGTCCTGGGGCAGGTCCTGGGGCTGAAACACAGCTGAGGTCAAGATGTTATCTTTAGTTTGACGGAGACTCTGTTCCTTGATCAGCAAATCTGAAGCTTTATTCTTAAAACAGTTTAATGCTGACCAGAACCTGAGATGCTAAGGGCTTCCTGACGAAGGGAGCGAATGTGCAGTACCTGCAAAGGTGGAAGGATCTGTTGAAAGGAGGTAAGGGAGTTATAGTGCTGTTAGACTGGACAAAGCTACCTTGAATTAAGTAAAAATCATATTGAAGAAATGAAGTTCCTGTGAGGTGACAGTAGCATATGTCTGCTATTATTGGGAACATTTGACAAAGTAATATAAAAAAGAAATTAGCTTGTAATAGGCCATTTTGAAAGCAGGAAGGAAAGGAAATAAAGTCCAGAAATGTGGGAACCTTTAGGGTTGGAAGTAACAAACAACACATTCTATTCTCAAATGATGAAACTGAGACATTTGAGTAACAAAGGCTGCCTTCTGGCGAGGATCAAATCAATGCTTAAATCAAGGTTTAAATCTCTGAACAGATTAAGGTCCCTCAAAGCAAAAACCCTGATTAAACTGTGGAATTCAATAAACCCTTTCAATTGGACAAACCAGCTCAGGGAAAGGAAACTAAAAGTGGCTTGATAGATTCAAAGTACCCACAATTTAGTAAAGGGAAGGAGAGAAGAACGGGGCCAAGAAAACAGAATTATTGTAACTCTAAAAAATATATCCAGAAAACAACTGTGGGTTTGGCTGTTAGCACATGTAAGCTGACCAGAATAAAGTAGATAAGAAGCATATTTTTTGGTTGTTTTTTTCATTTCCTCATTCAGTATTTTTTTAAATTTATCTTTATTGTTGAAAGTATTACAGATGTCCCTCCTTTTTTCTCCCATTGACATCCTCCTCCCCCCTCTCCCCTCCCCCCTATCTCCTCCCCCCTTCCACTTTCTCTACACTGTTTTCTGCTGCTTTTTTTTTTTCCTTTATTGATTTTAGAGAAAGAGGAAGTGAGAGGGAGAGAGAGACAGAAACATCAATGAGAGAGAACATCAAGTGGCCACTTCCTGCATGACCCCCACTGGGATCGGGCCCACAACCTGGGAATGTGTTCTGACCAGGGATCGAACCAGCAACCTCTTGGTGCATGGGTCAATGCTCAGCCACTGAGCCACATTGGCTGGACTGTTGTCTGGTTGTTGTTTTTTTTTTATTGTACCAGCTAACTAGCCACCAAGCGGAGTAAAGAAACTGTGACTATAACACTTCAAAAACTTTGATCCCAAACATTGATCATAGGAAGCATACTGAGTGAGAAAGCTTTTCTGCCTCCAAGACGGATATATTTTGAATGTCCATTCTTGATACGGCCAAGAAGAGTAATGGGAAAAGAAGAAATTCCAGGAGCTATGGGAACAATGAGCAAGAGAAGTTTCAGGGAGTGGAATAGCGGCCTAATCAAAATTCCACATCCAGTGGGTATGGAGCCCACATCTACTCAGTGGAATTTCAGAATGGCTTTGGCTCAGGAACTGCTGTGTTTCCCATACTGTCGTTTTCTAGCTGCAATAGAGTTTATTGCAGTTATTTTGTAACAGTTTCACCACTTTATATTGGGAGATCTCTACATAAAGAGGAGTGACATTCAAACCTGATATAGAAGCTATCTCATATCATCTAGAGTTCATGCATTTTTAACTTGCTGCCATATTTGGGGGAATATTCTGTTTTTCTCCCTTGGGGATGGGGTGAGTGTGAGGGCAAGTGTATTTTGTATGTGAAGAAGAGTGATCCAAATATTGACCAGGAGAAAAAGAAAAAAGAAATAAAAAGGGAAGGAAGAAGGGGAGGGGAGGGAGGGAGGGGAGGGGAGGGGAGGGGAGGGGAGGGGAGGGGAGGGGAGGGGAGAGATATTGACCAGGAGAATAGGACAGGTGTTTCTTATTATTCTGGCTCAACTTTCTCTGGTTCTTCTCATTTTTACAAGACAGAATTTTCTAGTCCCCTTATGTTTCAGTGACGCCATGTGATTATTTCTGGCCAATGAGATGTGAGAAGAAATGACACAGGTCACTTCTGAGTCACAGCATTTGGTTGCTGGTGCAAGATTCTCCACCTCCATGATTCTGGAAGAATGTCTCTTAAGTGATTGAGATGGACTCTTAAGTGATTAGAACAAACGTAGTCCTCTACCAACCTGTGTTGGACATTCAACATGAATGAGAATTAAATTTTTATTTTGTTAGGCCACTCAGATTTGGGAGGTAGTCTGTTATCACAGCATTACCTAGCCTGCTTTGGAGGATAAACCTACAAACAGCAGGAGGGACTTGTAATTCCACAGATCTATCTTTCCAGACTCATACACTGACAATGTCTTTTCACACATTTAGTAAGAGCGATTTCATCCTGGACACACAATTTAAGTCTTCCAAACTTAAAATACAATATGTTAAATAGTCGATACAGTATCTTTTGGTACATTTTCAAAGAGAACTTCCCTTCTGTAAAATCTTTAAAACTCTACAAATAAGCAGGAGAGTCAATGGTTGATTTTTGAGATGGAGCCAGATCACACATGGATGGTATGGTGAAAAGAGAAAAAGTATACTTTTCTAAAATATGTAACATTTATCAAAAACCATTATGAAAATTTAGAATGGAATAAAATTATCTATGTTACTGCCTGAAGAAGGCCCCCAAAAGAAACAAAAGTGACTGTTTCAAACCTTGTCCTAAATATTATGAAAAATTTTTTCTGATTGGCAGTCTGCCCACACTAAAAAGGACACTCTCTGGGCTAGTGAGACCAAACCAACTGAAGTTAAATAAGGTTTTTTAAATGTTTCTTCTTATATTTTGGGAAACTGAAATAATCTTACTATTTCCAAAGAACAGCACACAATGAGATTTTTTTTTGTAAAACAGTGAATATGAAGACATATTATAAATGCCCAGTTTACAGGCGCCAGCTCTCATTCCAAAGAGAAATGTGAGAGTAATGACTACTTCTGATACAGTATAACAACTGTAAAACCTAAAAATAAAATATCGGAAGAAAAACACAGCACTTTTTCTTAAGCTTTTCTTCATTTAATTTAGATGGCAAGCAGCATTGGGTAAGTGTAGGTTTAGAATTTTTCCTAAAAGCATTTCATTTCTACCAGCGTTTTAATATGACTTTAATTCTGCTGTTGGCTCTCCATGAAACATACTCTATTAAGATAAAGAACTGAACAAACATTCTTTACCAAAGAGAATTTTACCTTGCCTGAATAAGAACCTTGAATTTTACCATGTAAAGTTTCTGCAAGTTAAAACAGTGGGATGCTGACAGCCTGGGCCTTTCTCCATCTAAATGTTTAGCTCCTGGAGGACAGGTACTGTGTTTTTACCTTCGGGATGCCCCAGCATCAGGCATGAGTGATGAGCCAGTGGCTTTGCATTCACCTCTCTCTTTATTCCAAGGCTGTCAATCCCTCAAACCTATTTTCTCCACTGAGCGTAAAAGAAAGAACATTCTTGTCTTGACGATTTCTATTTGGAGAGGGATATCTTGGAATAGAGGGCATTTAATACTCTGGAATGTTCAAGGGAAAACTACACTTGGCTCTGAGACATACCTTTGGAGCTGTGGAATTACTCTGGAAAATGGAAAATGATTACTCTTGAAGTCCCTTGAAAATTCAGTCAAGTCTACAGAAATCACAAACTGCTGAATGTAACAGTTCTTTCGGGAAATGTGAGGAGTAAAGCCTGCAAATTGGAGCTGGCGTGAAAGCAGAATTGGCCCACTTGACCATGACAGAAGGGGCCAACGTGGCAGGAGGACAATTGTATCACTTACGGTTGATTTCAACAGACATGGCACCAGTCCACATAATTTATGAACAAAACTGTGTTTAATATAGTGCTCTTATTGTACTTGTAAATATGCAGGACAGTAGAAATCACGGAAGAATTCAGAATCATAAATATATATTTGTCTCTATGAATATCTAAAACTAAGAATTAAAGCTTTCATTTTTTAAGGAGAAAGATATTCCTTTTCGTCAAACACCGATAGTGAGTGGGGCTCAGAAGCTCTAACCATCATGGTTCCATAAGCCTATTCTTGAAAGTATGCTACACAAGGTTGATTGAGAGAAATTTTGACCATATCGACTTCTCCGCCTCCATTCTTCTCCCGCTGGAAATGAATGCTGATTAAATCCTCCACAACTTCCCCATCCATCATCTGAAGTTCTTCCATTCCGGTCAGAAGCACCGTCTTCTTAGATATTCCTGAAAATACCTAAAAAGGAAAGTAAAAAAAGATAAATAGAAAATTTTTCTAAGAGCTTTGGATTGTAAAACTTTACATTGATAGCTCTGCTTAGTATTTTGGAGTTATTTTAGGAAAGACAGGGGGCCTCAGGAAGATTTTTCGAGCAAGAGCCTGTCAGAGTCAGAGCTGAGTTCCAGAAAGACAACTCTGGTGGCTTTAAACAAATCGAGGAAAGAAGGGCAACTCCACTGACAAAAAGGCCAGTTAGAGAGGTAGTCGGAGGTGAAGTGACGAGATTGAGTGACCAAAGAAATGTCTGAACTGAGGCAAAACAAGGAGTTAAGCATGAATTCTAGCTTTCAGGTTGTTGGTGGGGGCATTTAAGACCTGAGTAGGTACAGAAAACAGGAGCGGATTTGGGTGAAGATAATGAGTTCGGAGAAAATGAGCAGGAAAAATTATTTGTAATGCCCAATGATAGACACGCAAGGAAAAAATGTAGCTATGTCTCCACATACAAAAATAAAGATTGTGCCATTATCTGAGTAATTTTAGTTTTAAAAGTGTACAATAAATTGAATAAGGTACAGTTTTGCATTAAAATATTCTTTTGAAAGACAAACTCATTCTTTTGTTGTTTTTTTGTGGTACATGCTCCTAGCGGGAACCGAACCCGGGACTCTCTGGTCCACAGGCCGATGCTCAACCGCTGAGCCAAACTGGCCAGGGCGACAAACTCATTCTGAACCAAGCAGATATGAAAAAATTATTTTGATATCCCTTACTAATAAGATTCAAACAGTAACAGACTCATAACCTTTTCTTTATTTTCCATGGGGGGGAGTCAAGCAGTAAGTTCTCAAAATGAAAGAAAACAGATGATCTTACCTGAAACTTTTTCAAGTGTGTTTCTATGTACGGAGAAACGACGACTCTAAAGCAGTCCTGATTTATATAAAGAGGATAGTCTTTCTTTTTCAAAATCTTGTCAACAACTAGGAGTAAATTTTTTTTTAATTATTTTATTTATATCATAGACATTTTAACCTAAGTTAAAACTTCCAACAGAACAATATCACAATAAACAGTAAATGGAATGTCTAATTTTTAAGAAATTGTAGTCCCCTTTAAAGACTTCACAGTACATAACTTTGAAAACCATAAGACAAAACAATAAGGAAGTTTGGGGGATCCTTCTCTCTTGAACTATCCTTCATAGTCAATCTAAGCAGAGAGGGTTTCAGTGTCTTCAAGTAGACCCCCCTGGGCTAGCTACATAAAATGCAATTACCGTCTGCAAAAAGTAACCAACCCATCCTAACAAGACTGTTGCTCAGTTTCTAAAGCAGTATCAAGAAAAACTATGATTAGAATACTATATTCATTTTATAATATATATTTTACTATTCATATGTAGAAACACATATATAGCAAATTACTATATTACTGTAGTGTATGTGTTTATGGATGTGTTAGGTACTCTGTAACTACTACATGATACTCAGTAAACGGATATAATAATCTTAATTAAAGGGGTAGGACGAATGTTGAATGTCATCCAGAAAAGTGAAAGCAAATAATAAAAATTCATCAGTCTTCTCCAAAACAAAGAATAATCAAATTTATGTTTAGCAGCATTTCCCTCCTAGAGGGGAAAAAGGGAATGTGTCAAGATAGCATAAAATTTAATAGAAACAGGCCCAGCCAGTGTGGCTCAGTGGTTGGGCATCAACCCATGCACCAAGAGGCCGCCAGTTCAATTCCCAGTCAGGGCACATGACCAGGTAGTGGGCCAAATCCCCAGTGGGCGGCATGCAGGAGGTAGCCAATCGATGTTCTCTCTCATTGATGTTTCTATCTCTCTCTCCCTCTTCCTTCCCCTCTCTCTCTAAAATCAATAAAGATAAAAAAATTTTAAATTAAATATAAAAAATTTAATAGAAACAATTCTAAAGAATATCCAAAAACTTTGGTTTTTCTCTTGTCTCCCCCGCCCACTTTGGATCGGCAGTATACGTGGTTAAGAGTGCAGACCCTTGCTGGCAAGGATGTGGACATTGCTAGCAGGAATGCAGAATGGTGCAGCCACACTGAACAACAGCACAGCAGTTCCTCCAAACATGAAACCTAGAATTACCATATAATCCAGCAATTCAGAAAGATCTAGCCTTAACTAACTACAGAGTCGGAGACAGGGAAGGACATGTCTCAACGTTTCCTAAATTAATGCTTTCTCTATTATTTCAGTTTTCTTTAGAAATCACGGTTATTTCGTTATAAAAAAAAAAAAAAACCCCAATCAGTCAATGTTTTTAACTGTACAGTTGGAGGTCCATTATCTGTGCAAACCCACGGAAGCCCTAAGACCGAGAACAAAAGATTTTTACATTGAGAATCTCTTGAACCAATTCACAGAAGCAGTTGTACAGTCTTCTATTTTTAATCATAAGAATGTAAGCCTCTCGAAGATGATTTGGCAAAAGTCCATTTCTACCTGAAAAGGGAACAGATGTCTAGCTGTTCTTTCCAAGAAAGACCCCTAATCTTCCCTGTCATTGATTTTCTCTGCCTAAGAGACCCTTGTCAGTCCTAATAGGTGGAATGAAACAGGCAGTTTAATATATGTATTTACTTCATAATAAATATATGTGTAAATGTCTGTGCAACACACCCACTGTGTGATCCTGGGCTCGTTACTTTCCCTCCCTAGCTCTCAGTTTCCTCATCAATTAAATGAGTACCACACCCACCTCCAGAGCTGTGCTGCAGATGAAAGGAGATAATGTGCAGAACACCCGGCGCCGGGCCTGGCACCTGGTGGGGATGCACTAAGATGTATGTCCTCGTTATCTGTAATATTACCTAGTTCGCAGTAGCGTTCATGAAAACCCTGTTCAAGACTCCACCATTTTAAAGGTTTAAAAACAATCCCCTGTTACTATGCTGTCTAATACATTCCAAAATAAAACAAGTAAGAAAAGAATACTTTTAGAACCAGCACAACATAATTTCAATGGCAGAGTATTTTTTTAACTTAGTGCATAAATACCTCCGGTTTCCACAAATGTGATGACCGCGCTTCCCGCCTCCTTGTCGTACTCCACGCTCTCCACCTCGCCGCCGCCGTTCCGGGACTTACAGAAGCTCAGTTCCAGCTTGTCTCTCATTTGATTTGCAGGCAGTTCATCAGGAATTTCAGTAACATTAATCTTCATTTTAGACACTTCCGCATGAACCTGGGAATTCGTTTCATATTCAGAGATATGGATGAGAACAGTGTCCATGTTTAACAGAATTCCGAAAAGCTTCAATCACCGTGTTACCTGGAATCTGACTCCTGGTTTTAATAGAACTGGCTTGGCCACAACCTCCACAGTTCTATCCATTATATTCACATTATGTTTCCCCAGTCTGATCACATTTTGGGCAACTGAAAAATAATTTAGAAAGTATTAATTTCCAATATTTCAATATATTTTTATCCTTTTGGTTTAAGAACAAATTATCCTAGGCAAAGACTTGACTTGGGGGGATGAACACACAATACAGTGTGCAGATGATGTGTTGTCGAATTGTGCACCTGAGACCTGTATAATTTTATTAACCAGTGTCACCCCAATAAAGTCAATAAGAAAAGAACAAACTATCCTAAATATTTTCAATGTTATTTCATTTTAAAGGATCTAATTTTTAAACTTTTCTTAGGATTTCCAAGTGATAATAGTCTGGCCACCAAAGTAGGATATATTAATGTCAAAATACATCAGCAAAAATTACTATGTAGAAATCCAGTTCTAGATAAGCCTGATAATCCTTCAGAAATTCATGTGATTTCAGTGCCCTCACACACCCTTCTTTTCCACTGTTGACAGAATTACCAGAGAATCAATTCCCTGAGGACATTGAAGCACAGCCAGAAATCTCCTCCATGATGAGTAAGCTGGGAAAACCTAAGAGGGTTGGTGCCCTGACCATTAACCTTATTTATCATTTGTCACTTTTAATATGTTACAAACATCATAGAAATAAAGTTATTTTTGTCTCTATCTTTCCCAAGGATTACATATTAAAGAGTACATAGGCCTGAATATCAAAGAGTAAATCTCTATTTTTTGCCATATTTAATTAGGAATTCTACTTTCACTAAAATGTGTTTGAGATCATTCAGTGAAAAGTTGACAGCCTTGCTATACTGATCACAAAACTGTCACATCAAATTTATCCACGCAAAGAGGAGAGGATCAGTAATATAATTATGCCAAAAGTCATTAGAATTAAAAACAACTGTGTGTCCATTTAAAATGCATGTGGGTGTGTCTATTTTTAATTGTGTGACATGAGAAGTTATAACTCTTCGGTTCTTAATATTCAGAGCTGCTTGTTCTACTTTGTCACGAAGCTGAGAGATGCCCATCCCTGGTCTTATAAACCTCACATGTGTTTATGACAACCAGCTAGCACACCACAGCTGGAGGAAGAGAGAAACTGGGCTAGAAGGCAGGGCCTTGCCACGTGGGAATTCACAGTCATTTTACCATGATATGAGGCTATAACTTGAATTATTATTTTTTTGTTACTGACAACAGGCAATAATAACAGAAAATATCAATGAAGTAATACTTAAATGATGCTCTTTCCCTGTCTCTTCCCACACCCAAACCTCCAACATCTGGTGATCTGACGCAGCTGAGAGGAACCACTTGTACTTCAACTTCTGTGACACTGATCATCAAAAGCCAACTACTGCTAATTGTGTAAACCCAAAGCTGTCCCAGGAGAGCAGGACCTCACAGCCATGTCTATGGCGGGAGCAGTGATGCAGCTGTTTTGGAAGAGAATCCCGATCTCAGCGTTCCCAAGTAATCCCTGTGCAGAATCCCTGCCTTCCAACTCCTCACTTTGGTCTTTCAGGTGAATCCCAATCACCACTGTCCACTGCCAAGAAGGCTCTTGGTCTCCCTCCATCCTCAGCTGCAGGGGTGCACCCAGGGGTGTAAACAGTATGAGTATATACTGACCTGCTAGAAGACCATTGTTTCGTGTGTGTTTTTTATTAAGGTAAAATTGATATATAACATTATATTAGTTTCAGGTGTACACTATAATTCGATATTTATATATATTGCAAATTGATTACCATAATATGTCTAGTTGCCATCACCACCATACAAAGTTACAAAAAACCTTTTTTTATTGTGATGAGAATTTTTAAGATTTACGCTCTTGGCAACTTTCAAATATGCAATACAATATTACTGACTGTAGTCGTCATGCTGTCCATGACCCCCCAAGGCTCATTTATTTTATATCTGGAAGATCGTCTCTATTGCCCCCTGAATCCTTCTCTTTCTAACACTTATTTTCAGGATATAGTGATGGAGACATGAGTTACAATAACAGATTCTCAGCATCTGAGCACTTGAAGGGATTGTGAAGGCCATTTGGTCCCACCCCATAACTTGACATGGTGGCCTGCTCAAAGGATGCTGGTTCAGTAGAACGCAAATGGTACTCAAGGTTTGGGTCTCAGCTCTGCAATCTGTTAACTGTATGAAGCGTGAGCAAGTTCCTTATCTTCCTTAATCTTCATTTCCTTACCTGGAAAATTCCTAACATGTAGCAATAATGACATGACAGCTGACACTGACTAAGTGTTTATTATGTGTCAGGCGCTGTGCTAAGTATGTTATCAACATTTGTCATTTAATAGTCAAAGCAACCTCATGAGGTTGGTATGACCACAAAATCTGTCATAAATCTGAGATTTATAAAGACCTCAACCCAAATCACAATTCCAGAAAGGGGCAAGGATGGCATTCAAAGCCAGAATCTCCTCATTAAGGTGCCTCCCAGCTCTGAACAGAGTCCTACACCATGGCAGACTTAGCAAACACCAGGTGCCATCCCACATCTGTGACTCCCGGGCTCTGTCAATTGGTCATGTGCCCTTTGGTAAATCACTTAAACTCCTGAGAATCTGTTTTCTTGGCTACAGAATACAATGGTAACTCTCCTATGTTATAGTCATGTGAGTATAAAATGAGATGATGTCTGTGAGAGCTCTCTGAGAAATGTGCAGAGCTTATGTCCTTAAAGCATTATTATTGCTAGTATTATCATTTGGAAGCAGCAGGTAGAATAGAAAGATGCTGGTATTGGACATCACAACACTTGGGCTTGAGTGTCAGAGCCGCTGCATTCTGAATGAGTGATCATATTCAAGACACTTCACATCCAAGTCAGTTTACTCATCTGTGAAATGGGGATAATCGTACCTGCCTCAGAGTTTCACTGTGAGAACGGGATGCAATAATACACGTAAAATTGTAAAGCAATAGTCAAATATCTATGAAAGCTCTTTGGAAAGTACAAGTGCTTTGTCGAACACTAGTCATACCTTCTTCTTCCTCAAAGGTGATAAGCGCTTCTCCTTTTTGTAGCTCATAAGGAACTTGTGAGCTCACTTGAAATGAACAGGAGATATTTAAATACTGGCTGTCATTCTCAGGATTCTCTAGGGCTGTGAATTTCATCTTCATTTCGGGAATATCCTCTTTAATCTAATTCAAAAGAAATGTTTCATTAAAATCAAGACAAGAAATAACTTAAGCCCTTCCAGTGATTATGTGATCTGATCATCCAATAATTCATTCTCCACTGATTTCCGAGCCCCCCAGAATAATAAGTGTGGTTTATAATAACTTCAGTAATTGCTTCTGCCCAGGTAAGTAAGCAATAAGGTAATCAGGTGCTGATCCTTTAATCTTATTTCACAAATCAAATTATAAGTATATAATGTCTCACCTTTTCTAGTCAATATTTAAACTGGTCAATATTGTATGGTGTTTGATTCTAAAGACATCATTCCTATAGATAAGAAGCTTTTAAACAACTGTGCCAAGCCCTGGCTGGTTTGGCTCAGCAGTTAAGAGTGTCAGCCCACAGACCACAGAGTCTTGAATCAAGAACACATGTCTGTTGCAGTTCAGTCCTGAGCCCTGGCTGGGGTCATGCGGAAGGCAACCAGTTGATATGTTTTTTTCACATGGATGTTTCTCTCTCTCTCTCTCTCTCTCTCTCTCTCTCTCTCTCTCTCTCTCTCTCTCTCTCCCCCCCCATCACTCCCACTCTATCTGAGGATAAATGGAAAAATATCCTAGGATGAGGATTAAAAAAATAATAATAATGATAAACAACTGTGCCAAAAAAGGCTAGCTCACAAGGGAATCATTAGACAGAATGTTCACTCTTATTGCAAAGCTATATGAAATAAAGTCAGGAGTACATTATAGTTAATTTGATAACAAACCCAGAAAATTTCATCCAAAAAGAATGACTCTTTAATTATATAATTTAAGTTTATCAATTTTAATTTATCCCTTCCCCAACATCTGTCCATCAACTTTTTTTTTTTTTACTTTTTTTTTTCTTTATTGATATTAGAGAGAGAGAGAGGAAGAGAGAGATAGAAACATCATTAAGAGGGAACATCTACTGGCTGCCTCCTGCATGTCCCCCACTGGGGATGAGGCCCACAACCTGAGCATGTGCCCTGACCAGGAGTTGAACTGGCAACCTCTTGGTGCATGGGTCGATGCTCAACCACTGAGCCACACTGGCCGGGCTGCCCATCAACTTTTTAACCATTAACAGAACTTGGGTTTATAAAACTGTGAAGGGACACTATCACAAGACTTGTAATCTGGAGGATAAAGTTAAGTGGTTATACCCATCTGCTTAAAGTCATTGGAATCAAGAGACCTATACAACTACACATAAATGCACAAATGAGTCTTGTGTTTGCATTTATATTTCTCATAGTTATTTACATACTGAAATACAAGGGGTTACCACAAAGATCAGAAATGTTCACTGAGCCATTTAATCTAACCTTATATTCATTGTATATCTACATGTGACTTCAGTGGAATTTCTGATTACCATAATTCCAATTTCAAAGCAATCTGTAATTTCTGAGAAAAGGCAAAGTGTTTCCCAATAATGTGGAGATAGATTTCCAGCATACAAGCAAACCTCGTTTTACTGTGCTTCACTTTATTGCACTTGGCAGATATTGGCATTTTACAAATCGAAGGTAAGACCTTCCACCAGCACAAAGACTATGATTTGCTGATGACTGACTCAGATGATGGTTAACATTTTTCAGTAATAAAGTATTTTTTTTAGAGCAAATGAATTTTACTTTTATAAAACTGAAGTTGTAGAATTTCCACATTGCTTCATTTTTATAATCACAAATCTAGGGTAAATAGGCAGAGTAACCATTCTCATTTTACAGATGGAGAACATGAAACCTAGGGAAATCAAAATGGGAATACTAACAGGATTTTTGTGGAAATTTAAGAAATTAAGGATTTATGGTAAAATTTTAATTCCAAAACAAGCATCTCACTTTGGCCAATAACATGACATCATTTAAGGCCCCCTACTAGGCCAGAGGAGAAGGCAGCAGCCCACCTCCTATGGAGGCACAAACTAGCCAGACCAAGACCCAGCAGCTACCTGAGGGTCTTTTGTTGGGGGAATGTGGGTCACTGGGGAAGGGGAGGTCACGGGTGCCACTGGCTGGCCTACGGTATAGGAAGAGCAGTAAAAAGAAAACAGATACAAAAGGAAAAATAAAAGTATTAAACCTGGTCAAGAGGTAACAAATATCAAGTCCCAGGCAAGCCAGTGGTATGGTTAAGTGGACTGAGCATCATCCCATGGACTGAGAGGTCCCAGTTCGAGTCATGGTCAGGGCACATGCCAGGTTGTAGGCTTGATCCCCAGAAGGGGGTGTACAGGAGGCAGCCAATTGATGTCTCTCTCTCATATCAATGTTTCTCTCTCTCCCTTCTCCTCTTTCTAAAAATATCAAAAACATATTTAAAAACAATAAGTCTCAGTATCGCTTCAAAGGACACCTGCTGTGCAGGTCGAGGGCAGAAGGTGGCAACCCACAGACATCAGGACTACCAGAATGGGATTGCCTAGACTCCAGACAGACCTTCCAATGCGACCCGAGGACGAGGACGCATACCACAAAGGCTGCAACCCTGGAGGCTCACACAGCAGGGGCCTCTGTTGCTCTGGGAAGGTGCTTAAAGAGCAAGTGAGTTCTTACCATGCCCAGCTAAGAGAAAAGGAGGCAAGACATCTGTCATGGGCTATGGGTTCGCTTTTATTGGCATTTGATAAGAGTCCTGCCCATGGGCAAGGAGGCAGCCCAGGGCTGTGGGAAGGAAAAACAGCACCTTACTCTACACTCAATTCACTCTATTAACCTACCAACCCCCACCACTCCCACCCGCACTAGGAACACGCTGTGCTGCTCTCTCAACAGTTTTCTGAGCCGCAGAATTGGAGAACAAGGAGGATCTGAAGTTCTGTCCATTGTTTCACAATAATAAATAAGCAGAGGCAGGAGTCAGCAACAAAGACACTGGCAGCCATGATCCTTGCTAGGTCTTTATAGCTGTGTCTCTGGATTTGTAGGCCACTCCCCAACTTTTCAGCTCCCGCACGATTCCTTGGGGCAGGCGACCAGTGACTGTCACCGCATGCACACCAGGCTTAAAGTTACTAACTCGCTGCCACTTAGAGACCCAGCCGTCCTCGGGACTCATCATTGCAATGATTCCATCAAAGGAAGAGCTGGTGCGGTCATATAGCATCTCTCGGTTACCCTTCATCTGAAGGTACGCATCACAATGATCACAACCGTCATATTCAAACTGGTCTATAGTCTTGACCAGCGAACACAACAAACAAGCCCGCAGATGCCGCAGGTCCTTGGGCACCGTCTCCAGAGCCATCGTCTCCCACACAAAAACAAGAGGCTCCCACGGCTGCCTCGGAATCATGAAGTATTTTTTACTTTATGAATCATAAAGTATTTTTTAATTAAGGTATTACATTGCTTTTTAGACATAATTGCACACTTAATAGACAATAGTATAGTATAAACATCACTTTTATATGCACTGGGAAACCAAAAAACTCACTTCTATTGCAATATTCGCTCTATTGTGGTGCTCTGGCACGGAACCCACAACATCTCTGCAGTGTGCCTGTACCTAAAGAAGGCCAGAGCTTCTGGAGTGAGAGTGCCTGACAGTCCTGAGCACACTGTGGCAGAAAGCAAGTCACTATGCCCTCTGCACCACAGCTTCACCCTCATAAAGTAGATCAACTGAGCGGGCTGGTTTCCCAAGGCCCTTTGAGTTCTAAGACTAGGCTTCAGTCCGAAGCAGCCAGAATCTTAACAGTCCTCTCTAAGTCCCACAAACACAGGAAACCGCATTTCCTGATATTCAATACCCTATCTCCTAAGTCAGAAACAAAAAAGTGACAATGCTTTAAGCAATTATATAATGTAGAAACAATTATGAGTTGTTAGGAAGAAAAAAAGGGTGAAAGCTACGTCTAATTCAAATAAAGGAAAATTTCGTAGAAACTAATGGTGAAGATATAAATCCTTGTTTTGTTTTAAATGTGCAACTCATTTAAATTACTGTAGCACCTTGGATAAGGAGAACAAAAAAAAATTAATGAGAAGACCAAGAATTTGATCCAAAAGTGATTGATAATGACCACTGTTTCTTTTTTTATTGTCAATTTTATTAATGTACATAAATATAAAAAGTGCATTATCATAAGTGTACAGCAAAATGAAATTTTGTAAAGTGATCACACACGTGTGACCAGCACCCAGATCTAAAACAAAACATGACCGACACACCAGAGGCCTCTTGGGCTCCCTTCTAGTTCCTCCCTAGTAGTTCCTACCATGCTAACGTCTAACATCCTGCTTTTGTGCCATATTTAAATAGAGGCCTATGGTATGCCCTCTTTAATCATTTTGGGTCTACACTGTGTTCATGAAATTCATCCATGTTGTTACATGTCGTTGTAATCTGTTCATTCTCATTGCTATGTGGTATTCATTGTGCACATACACCCCGATTTATTAATTCACTCTACTATGAAGAGACACTGGGTTGTTTTCACTTTGGGACTATTACAAACAGTGGTGTCATGAATGACCATAATGTTTTAAAAGTGAATTTTATAGCCCTGGCCAGTTTGGCTCAGCGGTCAGAGCGTCGCAGGTTCGATTCCGGTCAGGGGTACCAACCTGGGTTGCGGTTCATCCCCAGCCCTGGTCTGGTCGTGCAGAAGGCAACCAGTCAATGTGGCTCTATCACAGTGATGTTTCTGTCTGTCTCTCTCTCTACCTCCCTCCTACTCTCTCTGATGATAAATAGAAAAATATCCTCGAGTGAGGAATAAAAAAATAAAATAAAGAGTAAATTTTATTTAATAAAATAATTTATTCTGATATATGGTGTCATTAAAAATGTGATACATAAAATAAGTAATGGGGTACCTCAGAGTTTCCGGTGGCCTCTTGTAACTCCGCTTCAAGCTTTTGGATCTCCATCTTTAACTCAATATTTTCCTTTACCATTTCATCCACTAATCTCTAAAAAAAAAAAAATCAAATAGCACCAAAAATTTAAACAGCCCCTGACCTCATTTTTCTAAAGGAACTAAAGAAGTTAAATTTCTTTAACCCTGTAGAAGGCAAAGAAAGACAGTCTCAGAATAAACATAATCACATGAAAAATAAATTTGTTGAATGTTTTACATCATCTCCTACCATTCCAAAATGTTATTGTCTTCATTTTACAAACAAATAAACCACCTTTTACATAGACTAAGGTCACAGAAATTTTTATAGTAGAGCAAGAACTGAGACCCAGAATCTAAGTCCAACACTCTAAAACTCTTCCTAGCTATTTGTGACTACAACATCACTTGTAAATTGCACATATGTTATCTGGGCAATTTTTTAAATTTTGTTGTGATGTTTTTTGTTGCCTTGACATGCCAGACATGTGGCCTTGGGTAAATGGTTTAAGCTCCCTGAGCCTCCCTTCCCTCTTGGGTCTGATCAGATCATTGGTAACTAAGCCCTTAACTTCTAGGTGCAAATCAAAGAAATGAGGGGAAGGAGTGAAAAAGCAGTAATGCCGTAAGCCTTGTAAGAGACAAAATAAAAATATGATTCTTCTTGTAAGGCTTGAATAATGGACGTACAAATATTTTTGAAAACTCTAAAATCCTCCTGAATTCAAGGTAATGGTGGATAAGGACATACAAAACATGCTTCACTACAAAACTAATGTTTATAAATTAATTTTTATTAATACCCAGTAATTTTTCCCTTTTACCTGTTTTAGTTTATCTCTCCAAAATTCTTCATCTTGCCAAAACTCCTTATGAATTTGGTTTTTGTTGTCTTCACCAGCTGCCATGATTCCCTAATATCATAAATTTTTAGTATTTTAAAACAGTATTTACACACAAACTCAATAAGAAATAACAACTTTGACCCCTTTACAGAAGAAACATCTCTTCTTTGCTATATCTTTCCTCCTAGCATCAAAGTCTTTATTATCACGTGGCTCATATCTGAACAAAATCTGTATTTTGAATAACTTTACACCCATAAATATATAAAAGGGTTCTAAAAATCCTTTGCTTTTCAACACAGTAATAGAACATGATAGGTGCTAACATTCTTTTGTAATTAACGTCTCAATCATAATATCATGCTCTGTTTTAAAAGACTACTATTTGGTCTTCTAGTCTTTTGTAGGGCTAAGGCAGAAAAAGTACAAGAAAGCATCTAATGGTGCCAGAAAGCAAGCAGGTACTCAACCAATGATGAGGACATGTGAAAAGGTCAAGGGGTCCAGCTTGAGGAGGTTCTCACTGGCCAAATGTGGGAATAAATTAAACATGACAGTAATAATTAAATCCAGAGTATATGAGTTCTATATGACATAAATAAATAACCCTGGCAGGTCTGGCTTAGTGGTTAGAGAGTCAGCCTACGGATCAAAGGGTCTCGAGTTCAATTTCTGGTCAAGGGCATGTACCTGGGTTGCAGATTTGATCCCTGGCCCCAGTCAGGGTCATGTAGGAGGCAACCAATCAATGTGTCTCTCTCACATTGATGTTTCCCTCTCTCTCCCTCTCTCCTTCTCCCCCTCCCTTTCTCTCTATCAAAAAATCAATGGAGCCCTGGCCGGTTTGGCTCAGCGGTTAGAGCATCCGCCTGCGGTACAGAGAGACCCGGGTTCGGTTCCCGCTAAGGGCATGTACCTCGGTTGCAGTTTGTCCCCAGCCCTGGTTGGTCGTGCGGGTGGCAGCCACTCGATGTGTCCCTTCACGTCGATGTTTCTCACTCTCTCTCCCTCCCGCTCTATCTGAACAAAAAATGGAAAAATGTCCTCGGGTGAGGATAAAAAAAAAAAAAAAATCAATGGAGTCCAGCTGGTGTGGCTCAGTGGTTGAGCATCGACCCATGCACCAAGAGGTTGCTGGTTCGATTCTTGTTCAGGACACATGCCCAGGATATGGGCCCAATCCCCAGAGGGGGGGCATGCAGGAGGCGGCCAGTCAATGTTCTCTCTCATCGATGTTTCTATCTCTCTCTCCCTCTCCCTTCCTCTCTTTCTAAAATGAATAAAGGAAAAATTTTTTTTAAAAATCAATGGAAAAAAATTAATTAAAATGTTAATGAGGAAAAGACCATTTGTGAATTTCAAATTTCTTGCTCACAAAATACTTCTTCATTTCAAAGGGGAAAAGAATAACTTTACAGTGGAGAAGCCAGGCAGACGCCACAATAATGAAATAATCAAAGTCAATAATAAGATAAATCAAAATCCCGTGCCATCTGATAGGGTGGACTAAGAACACAGCATGACTTCTATGATATTCCCGCCAAAGATGCATGATCTGAATCTAAGCGTGAAGAAACATTACACAAACTTCAAAAGCGTCACGTTCATAAAAGCCAAGGAAAGACTGAGAAACTGCCAGACAGAAAGAGACTAAAGAAACATCACACCTAATACAACATATGATTCTGAACTGAGTCTTTTTGTTATACAGGATATTATTGGGACAACTTGCAACACTTGAATTGGATCCAAGAATTAGATGGCAATAATGTTCAATATTAATTGCCTGATTTTGATCACTGTGTTGTGGTTATGTAGAGAACACCTTTCTGTAGTTAATACATATTTAAGAATTCTGGGATTTAAAGTTGGAAAGTTATTCTCAAATAATTCGGAAAAAAAATTTTGTTTGTTTTGTACTTGTCACTTTTCTGAAAGTTTGAGATGGGTTCAACCGTTCTTCAAGGTCCATCCCAAATTGCCCCACAAGTCCTTGAGGCCTTTTCTGAGTTCCCTCAAAGGACAGTACTTCTCCCTCTTTTAGCTCTTGTGGGGATTTTTTTTTTTTTTTCAATGAGAGCTTGGTGTTCTGGTCTCTCTCGGGGGGAGCGGGAGGGGTTCCTCTCCACCAGGTTGCATAGCCTGATATATGACTGCCTCCATAACTAGCTTTCTGTTGATCAGAAAGCAGTTCAGGGGGTGGAGGGGGCAATGCCATGTCATCCATGGTGGCTGTGGGTCTCTTGGGGAGTTTTAATTGTTTGTGTATCTGTGTTATATTTTCTATGACAAGATAGATGGCCATGACCTTGAGGCCAGGGACCAGGTCCTTTCCTCCTTGCACCCACTCAGAGCACAATACAAGTTTACACACTGAAAACACTCAAAAGCCATAGAATTGTACAGTATCTTGATTCAGATATTTGTTCTGCTCAGGACATCCCAGGCATATGAAATTATTTTTTTACATTTCCAGAAAGCAGAAACTACAACATTATTTCATTGCTTTTTAAGTCAAGATTCTTAAAAACTTGTAATAAAGGCTCTTAATATATTTAAATCATTTCAATGATCCACTACATAATACCCCCAGAACATCTTAGGACCTATTTAGAATGAGTGGGATGTACAGTAGGCTTCCTTTCATGCAATCAGATGGATGACCCCCTTAAAGATGTCCACATCCTAATCTCCAGAACCTGTGACTATGTTAGACTACTGCTAAGGAGAATTAAGATTGTAGACTGACTTAAGGTTGCTAATCGACTGACTTTAAAATATGGAAATCAGCTTGGCTGGGTAGCTTAGTGGACTGAGCGTAGCCCCATGGACTGCGAGGTCCTGGTTCAATTCCTGGTCAGGGCACATGGCCCGGGTTTCAGGCTTGATCTCCAATAGGGGGCCTACAGGAGGTAGCTGATGGACTCTCTCTTCTTTCCTCTCTCTCTAAAATAAAAAAATCAATAAAAACATTTTAAAAATAATAAAATAAATAATTTTTAAAAATCATAAAGAACAATACTGGGAGTGGCGGGATCAGGAGGAGGGTGTCAATGGGGGGGAGGAGAAACATCTATAACGAAAATAAATTAATTAATAATAAAAAGTTTTCCCAAGGGATGAAAAATAAATAAATAAATAAATAAATACAATAAACTTGGAGATCATCCTGGATTATCAGTGAGGCCCCGTGTGATCACCATAGTCCTTTACAGTGAAAGAGGAAGGCAGCAGAGCAGAGTCCAGGTGAGAGGTGACGGGTCAGAGAGACGTAACGTCGCTTTGAAGATGGACAAAGGGCAGCACTGAGCCCAGGAAGGCGGGGCAGCCTAAAGAAGCAGGAAAAGGCAACAAAACAGATTCACCCCAGGAGTACAGGAAGGAAGGCAGCCCTGCAGACACACTGATTTTAGTCCAGTGAGAGCCAGGTTGGGCTTCTAACCTACAGAACTTGAAGATAATAAATGTGGGGTTTTTAAGCAACGAAGTCCGTTATTATTTATAACAGGAAATAACAAAACCAATGCAAATCGCCTCCACCCACCCACCACCTGTTCCCCTAATACACCCATCACTGTGGTGCCGGGCCCAAGAGAATTTAACCCTCCCATTTGCATGCCTGGTAGTATAAAGAAAGAATACGGGCTGGAAAGGAAGAAGGCGGTGACTAGGAAAATGGGGATACACATAAATGGTTTCCTAAAAACATGAGTGTGTCCTATAGACCGGGAAACATCCTATTCTCTTAGGATGTCTCTCTCGTGTCCCTGCTTATTCTGAAAAGCAAGGCAGGACTGACTGCCAACCCTGCGCCTGCCAAGGAGGGTAACCTAAGGAATCAGTTTTTCCAAGAACTAGCTGGAGAAGCCCCACAGGGACAGTAGGAAACAAACCATGTTAAGTTTCGATTTCTGGAAAGAAGCAAAGCAAACTAAGGGGACGAGGTCAGAGGCCCTGATGTTAAAGAGGAGGCACAGTGGGCCCGGGAAGCACGCCCATCGGTGGCGCCGCCGCAGCGACCCAGGAGGGGGGCGCGGGGGGCGCGGGGGGCGCGGGGGGCGCGGGGGGCGCGGGGGGCGCGGGGGGCGCGGGGGGCGCGGGGGGCGCGGGGGGCGCGGAGCCGCCGAGCCGCCGCCGCCTGGGCGTCCTCAGCTTCGGATCCTCCCGCGCGCGGTCGCCGGTCCCGCGGAACCCGCCTCCTTCCGCCGGAGGGCAGAGATGCAGTCGGGGAACAGGGCGCCCCACTCACCCGCCTGGGCCCGCCGAGCGCCGCGCCCCGGCCCCACTGCCCGACCGTCGGAACCCCGGTGCTGCGGGGCGCAGGGAGCCCGCTCCGGCTCAGAACCCCGGGCGCTGGGCGGGACCGCCGGTCCCCGAGGTCGGCGCCGCCCGATCCCGAGTCGTGTCCCGATCCCGAGTGGTGTCGCTCAGACGAACAGTTTGGTTCCTTAAAAAAGAAAAAGAAAACGCTGCTCCAATGGTGACTTTCTCTAAAACTAACCGGAGCGCCAGACCCGGTGTCTCTAATGACTAATCACTAACAAGTTACAGCAATTTTCACTTTCGGTTTTAAAAACATGGTGGTTTGGACCCGGCCGGGCTGTCGTACAGGGAAGGGTGCTGGCCGTCCCGCCCGGACCCTCCCAACCGGGACAGGTCTCTCTCCCCTCCCCCGAAAACCAGCCACTGTGTCCTCCCCGAGGGTAGAAACCAAACCCGAAAACACGTGGTGGTTTTGTTTTTGTTTTGAGGAAATCTTCCACAAAAGTATTCCTGAAGTTTTCATTAACACGAATTTTAGGACATTTTTAAAAAACATTCTTTGGTGTGTGTATATTCCTGGACGTATTGTTCAAATAATAGTGGATTGACACACCAAGTCGAGTCAAAGCTGCGGTCTCCCTTCAGACTGTAACTTTCCTTGTAAATTATTGGTCATTATAACCGTAATGTACACATTTTTATAGCCAGCACAACTTTTCGGTGTCTTTTGTAATGTCCTCTGCGCCCTGGAGTTGGGAAAGGTGTGGCGTTCAGATGGTTTCTATGACCTATGTCTGTCCTTGGCAAAGTTTCTTTTAATCTTCTGTTTTGTTGTGAAGATTGTAAATAAGTACTTCACTAGGTGTGATTTTTGCTTTGAAAATAAAAACATCTGGCTTATTTCAAGAACCTCAGTGTTTCTTAATCTTACACACAGAACCACCCACAGTTGTCCTTGCTCATAAAAAGAGAAGGGGTGGGGGTGTATCAAAATCATTTCCAGGCATAAATTCTAGTTTATAATGCTATGTAATCATACGCATTAACCAATACAGTTGTCTAAAAAAACAGATTAACAAAAGTCAAATTCCTTCAGATCAAGAATATTGATGGGAATCAGTTTAAAGTGGTTTTCCCAAGTGGAAAAATATTACGTGGTGTGTGACAAGGACTTTTGTGCTCCTCAGCCCAGTTAGGAAATAGAAAAACTCCATCTGTCGCAACTTGAGAATTATTTCCATTCTACCTTAGAATTTCAGAGACCGTGAACTCTAGGGATTATCTAATTCAACCTCACTTCTTCTTCTGTCTTATTTATGTTTTTAATATTTTTAAATTTGTTATTTATTTGAGAGAGAGAGAGAGAGAGAGAGAGAGAGAGAGAGAGAAACATTGATTTGTTGTTCCACTTATGTATTTATGCATTCATTGGTTGATTCTTGTATGTGACCTGACCGGGGATCGAACCCACAACCTTGGCATATCTGGATGACACTCTAATTAACTGACCTACCCAGCCAGGGCCTTATTTTTATTTTTTATGAAAAGATTGTTGTCCCATTCACCAAAAGGTCACAGGTTCAATTCTTGATCAGGGCACATACCTAGGATGCAGGTTTAATCCTGGGGTTCGTACAGGAGGCAACTGATTGATGTTTCTCTCTCACATCTATATTTCTCTTTCTCTCTCCCCCTTCCTTCCTCTCTCTAAACATCAATAAAAACATATTTTTAAAAAATAAGATTATAAGCTGCAGGACCATGGCCATTGCAAGACTGATCTAATCTCAACTTAGATCCTGTTAAAGGGCAAAGGATACAGGTAGTAGGGAAGCCATTTGGCCACCTACATGCTAAAGCTAAGCCATGTGTAGCAAACAGCCTGAATTCAGCTCAGCTTCAGATCCGGTACTCTGCAAAGCACTGGGACTCTAAAGATGAATAGTCAGCTCCTGGATATACTGTCATTAACAATCGTAATTGCTAACATCTAGGAACTCCTGGGCATTTTATAAACCTTTTTATTTTGCCAACAACTATATGAGATATAAGTATTATCCACACTTTGCAGAAGAGGACACTGAGGCTTAAAAAGATGACCCCAAATCAGGCAATTAACATGTGATGACCTTGATATCAGACTTTGCTCTCAACCAGGAAATCAGTGTCTCCACACTGTGTAGGGTGGTGCATAGAGAAGAAGGAATTGTATGGCCAACATGATTAGGAAATGCTGCAAACTGAGTTCACTTTTAGAGATTCAGATATGCATATCAGCACATTAAGAGTTTTGAGAAGTATTGCAGGAAAAAATTAAAACACATTATAATGTTTAACTTTATTCAAATTAATTTGACCATTAAATCCTTTTTTCATGGAGCAGCTATTAAAATGTTGAAGAATTTTTAATGGGAAATTTGAGTAATGCCTTACTAATGATGGGGTTCAGGAGAATGTCATTCTGACCTTTCCCCCCACCACTCCCCTTCTCTGAAACAGGACATAAAACCCTCCTGTGAGAAGTGCCTTCCCTGTACCTGAAGGAAAGGAGCATTCTCACCTCCAAAGACAAATGGACAGACAAGAATTTGAACAGACTTGCTAAGTTTCCCCAGTTTACTACGCTCACCTCGACTCCTTAACCCAGTGGTTCTCAACCTTCCTAATGCCACGACCCTTTAATACTGCTCCTCATGTTGTGGTGACCCCCAACCATAAAATTATCTTTATTGCTACTTCATAACTGTAATTTTGCTAGTGTTATGAATTGTAATGTAAATATCTGATATGCAAGATGTATTTTCATTGTTACAAATTGAACAGAATTAAAGCATAGTGATTAATCACAAAAACAATATGTAATTATATATTGTGAAATATTTATTTCTAATTACAAATAAATGAGATTTTGTATTTAAGCATGGTGTAGCATGGTTAACAGTCTTAATATAACAACAGTAAACTACATTGCTACAGTTTGCAACAGGATGTGTAAAAAGCCAACACCAGTACGAAGGTTGAGATTGCTTCTTTCTCACCAGATCAGAAATTCTCGGGGCAGTCTTTGCAAGAGCACAACGAAGATCATCTTCCACAGCAAGACTACATCTGCATTTAGGCTTGATAATCAACAAGCTGGAAAACCCTGTTTCACAAAGATATGTTGTTGGAAATAGAAGAAGAAGGCACAATACAGTCTCAGACAGAACAGGATATGACTGCAAACACTTGAACCAGAATTTTATAACTGGCATTGCAGAGAAATCTTTTCTCCCTACATCGCTGTTAATAAGTTCAATGAACTCCTCTTGTGCTGTCTCAGGAAAATCTTCAACTTTGACTGTGAATGGGCTTCTGGCAAGTGCAAATGGGGTGTCAGGTAGATTTGGAAAGTACGATGAAATTTCGTCTACAAGCATATGTAAGTGTTCTTTCACAGAAATTATCATCGTAATCCTTTTGTCTGGTTCAGTGTCATGTTCTTCAAAGAAAGCAGATAAGGTAGGTAACATGTAAATTTTATTTTTATCCAATTTTTTTTTGCCAAAGCTGAAGTTTCATTTGAAATGATAGGATCTTTTCAGACAAATCGAGGTATGTTGCATTTGGTCTTTGCAATGATAAATTAAATCATTCAAGATGGCAAAGATAGCAAACAAGTAAGCTATTTTCTGCAGTTGACTATTATTGCTGAAAAGTGCTTTGAGCTGTGGTCTTGTTTTCTGATTAAAAAACATTTTGAGCCCTGGGTTGTTTGGCTCAGCTGTTGGAGCATTGGCCTGTGGACCAGGGAGTCCTGGGTTCGGTTCCTGCTAGGGGCACATACCAAAAGTAAAAAAAAAAACATTTTGAGTTCATCATGAAGCTCAAAAACACATTTTAAAACTTTTCCTGTCGATAACCATCTCACTTTAGTGTGAAAGAGCAAAGCATTGTTCGGCGCATCCAACTCGTTGCATAGTTGTGAAAAATTATGTTTAAACTTTGTTTAAAGTGCTTGCCTTTACAAAATTGATAGAACTTATGATGCTTTTCATTACTTCTTGTAACTCCTGTGGCAGCGTCTTCAATGCTAATATTTGCTGATGAATCATACAGTGAGTTCTGACAACTTTGGGTGACTCATTCAGTACCAAATGTTGAAATTCGGTTTGACATCCTAGCATAGCTGGAGCACCATCTATGCAAACACCACAAGCCTTTTCCCAAGAGATCTTATGCTCTTTCAGAAATGAACCAACTGTGTCAAATACATCACATTCAGTAGTTGTCATTTCAGGAGGTTTGCAAAAAAGAAACTCATCTTTAAAGTCGCCATCATTAATATACCTCACGTAAACCAGTAACTGAACAGTTTGCAATATCTGTAGGGTCATCAAGCTGGATACTAAATATTAGAAGTGGAGCAGATTTAATTTCCTGGGTTACCTGATCAAGAATATTAGCAGACAAGTCATCTATTCTTCTGTGGACAGTGTCATTAGATAAGGAAATTGCACTCAATTTCGTAACAAATTTGTCTCCAATCATAATTCAGACAATGTCTTTGGCTGCTAGCAACAGTAAATCCTCAGCAATGGTGTGAGGTTTCATAGCTCTGGCGATTCTGAGTGCCACCAAACAGGAAGCTTCAATGGCTGCTATGTTTTGTTTGTGGTACTTGCCACCAGTGTCAAGTCTGGCTCTCTTGAGTCCCTCAGCTTTGCTTCTAAAATAGTTGGTGTCCTTGCCGGCAAAGCTCAGATGTTTGCTATCAAAATGGCGTTTTAGTTTGTTCGGCTTCATAGATTCAGCTGATAGAACTTCACAATAAATAACACACTGCGGTTTCTCAATCCCTGCTGTAATTATTGAAGTAAAACCATACTGTAAAAGTCCTCACTATATTTTCTTTTCTTAATGTTCTTCTCTACACGATCCATTGTCATGGGATGGTTTGCTAATGAAAATAATATATAACAATAGCTTTAATAATACAAAAGATGATACATGGCATAGTTTAGTCAATACAGTTGATTAAAGTTTCCTATGATTTACCACTGTTCTTTTTTTGTTTGTTTTTTACATACCTATTACTATCACAAGGGGGCAGTATTCACATCAACCACAGCTGAATATAAAAAGACTGATCAGCCCTGGCCGGTTTGGCTCAGTGGTTAGAGTGTCGGCCTGAGGTCCAGAGAGACCCGGGTTCGTTCAGTTCCCACTAAGGGCACGTACCTTGGTTGCAGTTTGTCCCCGGCCCTGGTTGGGTCGTGCAGGTGGCAGCCACTCAATGTGTCCTTTCACGTAGATGTTTCTCTCTCTCTCTCCCTCCCTCCCTCCCACTCTATCTGAACAAAATATGGAAAAATGTCCTCGAGTGAAGATAAAAAAAAAAAAAAACTGATCAGCAGCCAGATTAAGTTCCCATGGTACAGACATTTTTTTTTTGCAGTAGTTGAAGATTTTACAGTACATGATTTTACATTTACCCAGTAATTATAATTCATGAAGTGTCATTTTACCTCCAATACTGCTGCTTTCAACAGAGTAGCTGCTTTTAACAGACTAGTTGCTTTCTACACAGTAGCTGCTCTCTGCACATGTGTGACTGCTCTACATAAGTACATTATGGTGCCAACCTTGTCACATACACCTATATTTGTTCAGGGTATATGTGATGGGGGTGGCATGATGATGTCATCATGCTGGGTACTTGTATGTGGGTATATCTGCATGTGGGCAGACCCGCTGGAGACGAATAGAGGAGCGGTGTCTCAGTTCCTAAGACCATCAAAAATACATGTTTTCCAATGGTCTTAGATGACCCCTGAGAAAGGGTCATTCGACCCTCAAAGGGGTCGTGACCCACAGGTTGAGAACCACTGCCTCAACCTATCATATTTCCCCACAACTGTCCACTCTTCATCAAACCTAGCATAAAATACTCAGGTCTAATGGTTTCTTTGGGTCTTCATTTCCTTATGAAGGCTCCCGTGTCACATAAAACTTATTTTAAATAAATGTGTATGCTTTTCTCTTGTTAATCTGCTTTTGTCAGTTAATTTTCAGACCCAACCAGGACCCTAAGAAGGTAGAGGAAAACTTTTTCCTACCCTACACTATATTACACCATTTTCTAATACTACAAAAGTCATTATTCACGGAATGTCTATCACACACTCAATAAATATTATGTTGCCCAGTAGGGGCATGAAAGAAGGTAGCTGATCAATGCTTCTCTCTCTCCTTCTTCCATCCTCTCTCTCTAAAAGTTAATTTAAAATCTTTAAAAATAGCCTGAAACACCAATCAGAAAGAATATATGTACCCCTATGTTCATAGCAGCACTATTTATAATCGCTAAGGTCTGGAAACAGCCCAAGTGTCCATCAATAGATGAGTGGATAAAAAAGCTGTGGTACATATACACAATGGAGTACTATGCAGCTATAAGAAAGAAAGATCTCTTATCCTTCGAGATGAATGGAGGGACCTCGAGAATATTATGCTAAGCAAAATAAGCCAATCAGAGAAAGACAAATACCACATGATCTCACTTATTTGTGGAATATAATGAACAAGGTGGGCTGATGAACAAAACAGACCCAGATACATAGAAAGGAGTATGGTTCAGACTGACAAACCGTAGAGGAAGGGGGCGGAGGGGATGGATGAGATGAACCAAAGAACTTATATGCATGTATGCATAACCAATGGATATAGACAATAATGCTGGGGGTTGGAGGGAGCGGGATGAGGAGGAGGGTGTCTGGGGGGAGGGGGGAGGAGAAACATCTGTGAGAAAAGTAAATTAATAAAAATTGGAAAAAATCTCTAAAAATATACACATATAAAAATAAAAAAAAATGATGCAGCTATCTTTGACAATACTGGAAAAGGGACATGTGTTTTGTTCGTGAAATAGAGATTCAAACATAAACATCGATCCTTAATATCCAAGCCTGTAAGATATCAAGCAGTAAACCTTGATATTATATTCAATCAATTGCTTCAAGGAAATCTGAAAATATTGCTGATGTTTTCCTGCTTTACTTGTTTTCAGTTTGAAGAGGTAGGATAACAGTAGTAGCCAAACAACGGAAAGAGTAATCTCCTCTCTCTCCGGAGGTCAGAGAGTGTTTCCGCCGCAGAAGAGGTGAAGGTTGAGTTGACTCTTGAAGTTAGAGGAGGTGGATTGAAACAAAAGTGGGCTGGATACTGCTTCTGACAGAGCTCTCTTAGATAAAGTGATGGTAGAATAAACCCAATACTTTGGACTGAACTTAAAGTCACAGGAGAGAAAAAGCTCAAAGAACCGAGATTCTTTTCTCAGAATGCTTAAAGAGAATATAGCATTGGGATGATGGAAAAAATCAAAATATTAAATTCTGATTGTGTTATTACCCAAAATCCCAACTGAGACAGAATCAGGCAAACGCATCCAAATAAATGAATGTAATTTCCAGGAAGCCCAGCTGTTAAGACAACGTGCGTAAACATACTGAAAACAGCTAAAGAAATGTTAGAAGGAATTTATTTTATTTGACTACCTTTGTTTTTTTATTTGAAAAAAATGTGATTTGTCTTTACCTGAGGGGCTGTATGAGGAGTTCTAGGAATTGCCAAGAAGAAAGATTTTGGTTGGTGCTTGAATACATTGTTTCTGATTATTTCCCTGGTTTGAATAACACTCTATAAGAGGTGTCAAATCATTGCAACAAGGAAGTTCCCTGATTTCAGAGTATTAAAAATATATCAGGCAAAAAAATTCAATTTTTTTTTCCAAAGTTTATTTTCTAGTTGGTATGAGGGAACCTAGTTCTATGTAGGAACATAATTTTGACGAAGATATATCTCAGTATAGTATATGATTCTGTTGATTTCCCTTGCACTGTGTGCTACCGTTAGAGAAAAGAGAAAACATGTTAGTGGAGAAAGGACAGCCTGAAGACCGGTACTTCTTACACTTGAACCTTCACATGAATCAGCTGGGGATGTTGTCAACATGCAGATCCTGATTCCATAGGTTTACAGTGGAGCTTCTGCATTTCAGACGTAGCTAAGTGATGCTGATGATGCTGGTCCTTCACCAAACTTTAAGTAGCAAGGCTGTAGACTGACCAGTTTACTAAAAGAGTGAAGAATGACCAGAAATGGTCATTCCAATGGACGGGTACTGTGTACTGCGTAGCTCTCTGATCTGGATCAGGCAGGGAGCATGGGGCCCTCTTCCTGTTTGCCAGTCTGGTGGGTGGGTCCCTGGATGGAAGACAAGGCATTTCTAGGTGTCCTCAGTAGAAAAAGCAGAGAACAATGGTCCCTTGTCTGTAGCTAGGCTACCATTACAGCAACTCTGAGATGGAAAGGAAGGAATAAACCATGAGGGTGAATGGGTCAAAATGATGTAAAAAAAAAAAGTAGAAAGAGGAAGTAATGAGAAGCCAGAAAAAAAGAACAGAACTAGTATATCTGGGAAGCTTGAAAGGAATATTCTTTCTCTTTCATTAATTATTCATTTCAGTTTATTTTAAATAGTTTGCCTTGGGTACCATGTAACAAGATAGAATGATCTCACACACAGTGCTCATTTTAATAACATAATATCTGCATGGGGCAATTTGATGATATTGGATACATCAAGCGAAAGGTAATTTATCCCTCTCAGTGCTTACACTCCTCCAGAGACATTATAAATAAAAACAGGCTTCACCCCCAATAAAAATAAAACAGAAAAGTGTCCTTCAGATCTTGTTACTTGGTGACTTTATGAATTGGACTAGAAACATTATTGGCTTTTGGGAGGATGACCTCAGCTGTTTTTCTGCCATCTGAAGAATAAAAACTCTAATTTGGTACCAATACTCAAAGCAAAATTGTCTCAGGTGGGTGAACAACGGCTGATAGATTGGCTTGTCTTGGAAATTGCAACACCTTAAAATGACCAGGACAGTTGGGTTAAGTCTATTCTGACCCTTACTAGCAATGTGAACTTGGGCATCTGTAATGGGTCTGGCATGTAATAGGTGCCCCCAAAATGTGAGTTCCAATCATACTTCCCTTTAACTTTCTGAAGCCCAGTTCCTCAGTTTCCTCAAATGTAAGATGAAGATAACAATGTTTACTTAATAATAAGATGTTTTATGAAGATTAAATGAGCTAATGTACATAAAGAATTTTTTTGTTGTTTGTTTTAATTATTTTTCTTTATTGATTTTAGAAAGAGAGAGAGAGAGAAAAATCGATGAGAGAGAACATTGATTGGCCGCCTCCTGCATGCCCCCTGCTGGGGATTTGGCAGACATCCTGGGCATATACCCTGACTGGGAATTGAACTGGCGACCTCTTGGTCAGCGATCAACCATTGAGCCACACCAACCAGGCAAGAATGCTTTTTGAACAGTAAATGCAAAGTAAAATAATATTACTAATGTGAATATTGTCTTCTGGTTTTAAGTTCCAGTTAGAAGTGTTGAGTTTTGGGAGTGATTTGAGATAGAAAAAAATAACTAGATAATTTAAATAAAAGTTAAAATCATATGAAGTCACCAAAGCAATCGCATATAACCGTTACCATCATAACTAGCTAGTTAATATTAATAACAGGAAGAAGAGTGCCCTGGCTAGTTTGGCTCAGCAGTTAGAGTGTCGGTCCTCAGACCAAAGAGTTCCAGCTTCAATTCTGGCCAAGGGCACATACCTTGGTTGTGGTTCATCCTTGGCCTCGGTTGGGGTCATGTGGGTGGCAACCAATCGATGTGTCTCGCTCACATTGATGTTTCTCTCTCTATCTTTTCTTCCCTCTCTCCATCCCTCCCACTCTATCTGAAGATAAATGGAAAAATATCCTCCGTTGAGGATTTAAAATAATAATAATAATAATAACAGGAAGAGAGCAAAGGGAAGGCCAGACATTAAGTATGGTCATCTGGGCAGTATCACCAAAAAA